AAGATTGCAGGAAAATGCAATTGGACCTTGATCCCATCAGGTTCTTTTCTCTGTTTCCTGACCAGAGGTTTGCCATGCTGAGCTCTCCCCTTAGGCATTTGAGTATCAGGCTTTTTTCTAGAATCTTGAAGCAGTAGCATCTTAAAGAAGAAAGGGTCTGAAAAGCCATCAGACTCTCATCTGAAAGCCAGAGTGACTAGGATTCTCCCCCTCCTCCTCCTCCTCCTGTTTGCTGAGTGCCCAGTTTTTCTTGACATCCAGCCACCCAGAGGGCATGTGTTGGTACTTGTGGGTCAGCCAACCACCCGACTGCCTCTTTCCGTGGAAGTGAGCCTCAGAGGGAGCACGGGGGTCCTTAGGACCCGTGAGCCTGGAGTCTGCCCAGAGCAGGCACCTCAGGGACTCCTCAGCATCCTAGGTTTACTTTGCATGCTGTTCTCAGGTCCTTCTTGCCTGTGCAGGGAGGGCCATTAGGACCCTCTCTGACATGGAGAAATGGAGCTCAGTGGATATGGTTCTGCTCTGGCAGGTACATGGACAGGACACCCCACACCACTGTGCCGGTTTTGTAGCTCCCTCTAGTGTTTTGACAGCTAAGTTGGTTTCTCTTCCCACTCAAGAAGTGGCCAATATGGAATCTGCTCAGACTCAAAGCAGTTTTTTAACTATTTCCCAGACTTCTTTAAAAAAAAAAAACAAAAGATACCAGAGAGAAAGGAGGGGGGTCATTTACTCACACATTACAAAAGGAACAGTCATGTAGTATGACATGGAGCCTTTGAAGTTCATGGTTTGTTCCTACTTCAAAATGACAAGAAAGTCAGCAGGCCGTACAAATACAGTTCCTGACTGTCAAGGAACCTTCAGGATTACCCTGAAACAACCCCAGTGACTATTGTCTGAGCCCCACCCCTGTGCTGAAGAAGGTACTCAAAGGCTTTTCAAAGGAATGGAAAATGAAAGGGCTGAATTTAGGAGGTTCAAGAAGTGAATTCATTTCCTAAATGGAATAAAACACTGGATGGGAGAAAGAACACAGGGAAGAACATTGTCTGTTGGTCCTAGAGACAGTACTTTGCTTTCTCAAATAACTCTTTGGGGCTAGAAATTTATCATCGGGAGACAGGTCATTTAGGTTTTCAAAAACTAAAACAGTCAAGTTATTAATACTTGAAAAAGATCTACTGTGTAGTGCATAGAACATTATTTCTTAGAATTTAATACTCCTATCTAAATTAACATCATAGTGGGCTCCATAATAGAGATTTATGAGATACCCATCATATGAGAAATCCGATTATGGAAATCTCCATAGGTCTGTGTGCTTAATTGTGACTGTTTTGATGGGTCTAAACCAATTAGGAGCCCTGGTATTTTTCCCGTTTCTTGGCCCAGAATTCTCCTTGTTCCATTTACCCTTAAAATCAGTGACCCATTGGTCTTCTTCTAAATGTTGCAGGATGGAGAGATTAGAAAACGCTGCCCTGCTCATTGTGGCCGTCTGTGTGTGGGCCGTTCCTCTCCTCAGCACGGCCAGACGACTGACCAGTTTGTCATTCTTTCTTTGTAAGTCATTTTGAGAGTTCAGCTGCAGTTGATCTGAGAAGTTAAGCATAAGTTCAGGTGGGAGGAGCCATCTTTTTATCATCCACTCAAGCCCAAAGGTTCAAAGAAAAAAGTGATCACAATGAGAATGGCTTCCCCTGTTTGCAGGGGTAAACAAAGCTGCAGGCATCCCAGTGAAACTTGGCTTGATGAGAGTTTTTGCCAGCTTGGTAAGACTTAATCAGCCATCTCCCCGTAACCTTCAGCTGGCAGATTCTCATTCCATCTGGCATTCTGACAGCCACGCAGGGATCTCTGCCAGCACATTGACTGAATGGTCAGGACATGGTGTCCGTGGGAAGATGGAGGTCGTGGGCAATGACCACCCTCTTCTGCCTCTAGTCAGACCCACACGGCAGCAGAGCCCGATGGAGCGTCTAACTGCCCAGGAATTGGTCACACAGGGGGAAAATCTCACTAGAATCCTCAGGACATTTTCTTCCTAATTTTCTTTGTTATAAAAGTATGCAGATGTCTGATGTTCTCACCATCACCAGACCTGAGCGAGGAGGGACCTGGAAGGCATCAAGTTCATTCCTACCAAGAAGAACTCCCCTTTCCCCAGGGGAGCCAAACTGAACTAGAAATGGGGCCCCCAAATCCTGCGTGACGGCCCCTGTGGGCCAGGTGGCGACGCAGAAAAGCACACGCCAACATCACCTGTGTAGTTGTGCAGTTACTGTTTAATCTCGTTCTCAGGCACTAGATCGCATGCACGTGTGCACACGCGTGTCTGTGCTTTGAAAATTACAGCACAGTCTACATGTGAGTAGGACCCTTTGCTCTGTAGGTGCAGTATCTGAGAGTGAGGATTGGAGGGTGCACCCCACCTTGTCAAGGTTAACTTTCCTTAAGTTATGCATTGTCCTAAGGACAAGGTAGTAAACCAGGGACACAGAGGAGTGGAATCCGTGAGTATTCACTCCATCATTCTGTCAGGCAAAATGAGAATGGGGAGGCCACGCTAGGTGGCCGAGGCTCCGTGCCTGGACTCTTGCTGCTGAATACCCACGTGACTTTGGACGAGTCACTCCCCTTTCTGGGTCTGTTTCCTCATCTGTGATGTGTGGGGTCTGGATGGGAGGGTCCCCAAGTCTGCTTCCAGTTCAGGCCTGAATTAACGACCCAGTCATGCTGTTTCCTATCTGTGTGACTTCAGGCTGGTCCTTTTCCCTCAGAAGCCCCTAACAGGTCTAGCGCCCTTTGGACGAGTCGCTTCAGCTGACGGTGTTGGTCTGAGCGTGCCGTGGCCCATGGAAGGCTGAATCATCACAAAATGATGGCTGTGGAGGAACTAAAAGATCTTGTGCCACACCTGAGGAATACGTTAAGCAGCGTCATACGGAAATGACTTAAGGCCAGGTTGATGAGCACACAGCCGCAGCAGGGCAGCCGGCCCAGCCACGCTGCAGGAGTCATCATCTGTGGAAGAGGCTCCTGCCAGGGCAGAGGGAGATGGGGGAGTTCATAGCAACCAAAGGACCGAATGAGAAACAGTCCCTGCCTTCAGGAGGTCTGGACCACCCCCACAATAGAGGCTAGCTCTGAGAGGGTGATTCCTAAAGAGTCCCAACACCTTCCACGGAAACTACAGCACTTACTGGCCTCCTGGGCAGGAGGCAGTCGAGGCCAGCAAGGAAGGTGGAGCCTCTCGAGGCCCAGTGACCTAGCGAGTAGGGGTCAGAGTGAAGCCTGCACCCCAGAGCTCCTGACTCCACCCCTGGCCCTGCCACCTCTGCAGTTAGCCCGAGTGAACTGCTGTCGGATGGTGTCTTTGTTTCTATATTCCTGTGGCCCTATAGCTGGTACTGAGGCACTTGGCAGCTTATATACATAAATATGTATAATACCCTAAATGAGAGAGATGCTTCTCTCCCTGGAGACTCCCTGGGCTTGGTCATCTCTGAGAAAATATGCATTTGAATGAAAATCAGAGGGTGAGACTCCTCAGAACTGGGGTCCGTTTGCCTCCTCCTAAGAAAATGATGCATTTTCTCTTTTTAAATAACATTGACTAGAAAGTGCATCGGGTAAATGTGCTTCTTTTCTGTGTGACTGTGATAAACAGGCAATGTAAACACTGCTGGGTGTGTTGCTGGGAAGACTTTGATGTTTATGAAATAGGCCGGCCCCCTCAGGCTGAGGAGGAGAGATTGGAAAGAATGGATTCACCCATGAAGGCTGATGTCTGGCTTTTAGTCACTGGGGTAGAGAACTTAATCTCCCATTATTGGCCTTATTAGCAAAAGGCCAGGATGCTGATAAAGTCTGTTCATTGTTCAGATTGTTTTCCAGGGGTGGGGGGGAGCCGTTTTGCGCCTGTGAGCAAGACCTTTCTTTACCACTGTAAGGGTTATAAAATGCTTTCTCCATAACAACCCATGAGGTAGGCAGTGCAAGAATGTTATCCCCATTTCACAGATGAGGACACTGAGCCTCCAAAGGATTAAGTGATTTCTCTAAGGGGAGGTGGTAGGAATGAGCTGAGCACCCCTGGAGGGAGAGGCCTCAGGCTCGCTCCTGAGGGTTACAGAGAATGCTTCCCTTTCAGACCCTCAGGACTTCAGAGGATCAGAGAGTGAGGATGGGAAGGACTGCAGGCCATCTAGGCTCACCCCCTCATTTTATAGATGGGGAAACTGAGGCCCAGGGGAGGGACTTGTCAAAGACTACAAGGTACACAGATGTCACAGGCAGGATTTGAACCCAGGACGATCCCCGTGGCAGAGAATCTCTTGGCGATCACCCTCTCTTTGTTTGCCTCTGATCCTTAGGCAGGAGATAAATGGCCCATCTCTAGACCTCCGTCCAGAGCCCTTCTGGCTTGGCCTCCATTCTGATACGAAGCCCTTGATAGGCCAGTCACCCTTGTTCCCTAGTGAAGTTATCAGGAGCAATCTTATATGGGCCAGAATGCTGTGCTGGGCAGGAGTCACGGGGGTAAGGAATCTACGGGTGCTTCTTAGATGCCTGCTGTGTGCAAGGGCTAGACATAGGAAGGTGGCCCCTCTCTGAAAAACTCACAGAAAATCAGAAGGCAAGAAGGAAGGAGGTGCAGTCTCTCTCAGTGGAGGGAGTGTCCACATGAGAGAGCCCAGAGCCATGAACACTACCCCTCACCTGACGCATTGTGGCTCACTCTCTTCTGGCTCGTGATGCCTTTATCTCCCTAGAGACAGAGGGAAGGCGGGCTCCTCCTCCTTTATGACTCAGCTGCTCTTTGCCCTGGAGGCTTACAGGAGACTCATTGGAAATGGTCTTCAGGTTCCAGTTCCCCAGCCCCTGCCAGAAAGAGCTGACGTAATGATTGACGAGTTAACCCATATCTGTATGTTTTTAAAAGTATGATTTTGAAACTGCAAAGATGTATCTAATCCCTTCTTTTCTTTTTCCAGATTTGCAAAAGCAAAGCTAAAGAGTCCCAACAGTACTATCACAGTTTGGCCATCCGGCAGAGTCTGGCCATTCATTTTAATATCCAGCAGGACTGTGGCCATTTCCTGGCTGAAGTCCCCGTCCGTCTTCTTCCCTGGGAAGATCCCAATGCCCCTGAGAAGGAAGATGAGGAAACGGAAGGAGAGGAGGAAGAGGGAAATGAGCAGCAGAACAAGGACACGTCCCCTGGCGCAGAGTCGGCCCAGAAAGGCAGCTCCGACAGCCAAGGAGGTGCCAGCAAGCAGCGCAGCCACGTGGTGGTCATCACAAGGGAGGTCCCGTACCTCACCGTGGCAGATTTTGTGCGGGAATCTTTAGCCCAGCATGGAAAAACTCCAGATACGTACGAGCGCCAGGTGTGCCTGCTTCTCTTACAGCTGTGCTCCGGCCTCGAGCACCTCAAGCCGTATCACGTCACTCACTGCGACCTACGTCTGGAGAACCTGCTCCTCATTCACTGCAGGGCAGGTGGAAGCGCCCGGAAGAGCGAGCCCAGCGAGCCCGGCCTGACCGCTGCTTGTCCGACAAGACTCATCGTGAGTAACTTCTCCCAGGCCAAGCAGAAGAGCCACTTGGTAGACCCAGAGGTCTTTCGGGACCAGTCCCGCCTCGCCCCTGAGATCATCACTGCAACACAATACAAAAAATGTGATGAGTTCCAGACTGGCATCTTAATCTATGAAATGCTGCACCTCCCCAACCCCTTTGATGAGAACCCAGAGCTGAAGGAGAAGGAGTACACCCGCGCTGACCTCCCCCGGATCCCATGCCGCTCCCCCTACTCCTGGGGGCTGCAGCAGCTCGCCAGCTGCCTCCTCAACCCCAACCCTTCGGAGCGGATCCTCATATCCGACGCAAAGGGCATCCTCCAGTGTCTTCTCTGGGGACCCCGAGAGGACCTGTTCCAGACTCTCCCCAGCCTGGCCAGCCCCAGCCAGAGAGCCGCTGTCCTCCAGAACTGGCTGGACATCAAGAGGACCCTGCTCATGATCAAGTTTGCAGAGAAGTCTTTAGACAGAGAGAGCGGGGTCAGCCTGGAAGACTGGCTCTGTGCTCAGTATCTGGCCTTTGCCACCACAGACTCGCTCGGGTGCATCGTGAGCATCCTTCAACACCGCTAGGGTGTGTGGGATTTTGGTTCTCATCAGCGACCCCTGGTCCTCCCTGCACCCATCCCTGTTCCGCCTTCCCTGAGAAAGTGGCTTACCCACAGCACAGCCAAGGAAAGGAAAGGAAAGGAAGTCTGGCTGTTTGTTCCCATCCCGGAGCAGAGGAGGTCCATTTGGCAAGGTCACCTCTAGCCCTCAGTACGGTGGGGAACAGAGTCGGTCTTAAATTTTCTAGAAATTAGTCTGCAAGGATATGCAGTTGTCTTCCACTTGAATATCTCCCAGCCTAATGTTTCTTTAATATATAGACGAATGAAAGGAAGAAAACCATCCCTGAAGGAACAGTTTCCTTGGGTATGAATACAATGAGCTATGTTTAAATTCCCCCACAGTTCTGGACAGTCCCTGACTGACTTTGCAGCATGTAATATTTTATAGCAATATACAAAGTTAGCTGATCTCCATTATCAACAGTAGGCTGTCCGAATAGGTGATCTTTCTTTTTCTTGTTGAAATATCTGTTTGCTATCCTAGGCATGTAGAGCTGTGATCCTCACCCTCATGATAGCCTTACGGAGGGCCACATGGTATACGGCAGATGGTGGGGTGGGGCCCAGCCACGTAAGCCTCACCCCAGGGGCTGGCAAGGGCCAAGACTGCAGACCCATTCTTCCTTCACTGCTCCCAAGCATATGTCCTATGCAGAGGGCAAGCAGAGCCCCCACCCTCCCGTCACCGTCGGCAGCCCCTTCCCCCATCTAAAAGGGTAAAAGGTCATCAGCCTCTCGCGGCCCCTCCGTAGAAAAGTGGATTTTTCTGTTTTTCTGGCAGGTGCCACGGTGGCCTCCCCGGGATGGGCTGCCCTGTGCTCCTCCAGGCTGGGAGGGGGAACTGAGTCACAAGTGCTGTTTTTAATGAGCGTCAGAGCTGTCAGCCCTGATCACAGTTTCTTCCTCTGGCAGTAATTGGCTAGCTCCCTTCTCCTGGCAGCCCCAGACCGCGCTCCCCGGCAGAGCAGCTGTCAGCTGAACTCCGAGATGTATTTAGAGGGAGGGGAGTCGGTGACCCTCAAGGTGTGCCAGCCAGGCAGAGGAGGGAGGGGGGCTGCTCTGTGACCTTCTCCCCCCAGTATTGGCCTCTTCTCCATCAGAGCTTCCTCCCCAGACACGAGGCCCCATACGCAGTATTACTAGGTTCCAAATCATGTCTGAAGTTGCTCAGAAGGCCTGGTGCTGGGAGCGTCTTGGATCGGGCCGAGGCGGCTGCCACCAAGCCAGTGGCCTTCTTTGCGAGCCTCGGGCTTCTCTCTGATGGATAGATGTGCAATTCTTGTATGTATTTTTTAAGCTGTGTATTACAGTGTTTACGTTGCAACTTCACCTGAAGCAAGCCCTAAGGAATCCCTGCCCTTCCTCTCCTGGCACATAAATGAGCTTCAGATAGGAGTGCTTTTTACATATGTGTGGATGTTTGTATGTTTATTTCGTTCAAAACTGTGAGTAATCCGTTTACTTCAGCCTTGAAAACAAATTAGCCACTTTGACCATGTGTGCATGCTGGGACCAGAGACGGGCGATGCTAAGCGGCCTTGGGGCTCCCAACATCCGGGGACGGGGCCCCACGGGCCGAGCCCTTGGTTCATGGGGGCCCAGATTGATTGTGCAGTATTATATAGCACATTAGCGGCCTTGGAAATATTTCTGAACTTTGGTGATTTTTTTAAGCCTTTCCTTTGATTCACTGGTGTCTGCGAGTGATCAGGAAAGGAGAAGGAGAATGTATTTTGTTACAATGTTACTTTTTTTTTTTTTTTTGCAAAAAAGACGTTAAAGGGAGTTGGTTGAAGGTGTGCTTCCTTCTGGTGTGTGTCAGTCATCTCCCCTAGAAAGCCCCTGTTGGGGGCAGGGGGCATCAGCCTGGCCATTGTGGGCCGGCCGTTCCAGCCCCAGCGCTGCCCCAGAGGTTAGAGCTGTAAGTTGGGGCACATTGGCCCTGGCGCACCCGTGCTCCCCAAAGGCCGCTTGCCATCCTCCTACTCCCCTCCACGAGCTTCAGCTTGTTTATTTACAGGCCCGTGGCCCCAGGCCATTCCAGCAGGCACGTCCTCTGGCCACCTGGCCCTTGGCGCTATTGAGACACCCATTCCAGGCGTCACTGGTTTGGGCGACTTGCGCAGGGCATATTTTGTAGAGTTTCATGTTTAGTGCACCTGGTCCCTGACCCTTCTTTGACCCTCAGCTTTCCCATTTCCTTTCTGTTTGTGTGTGTGATGACTCAGATTCTGGTCATTCATTCTAACTCTGTCGTAGAATCAAGCATCTCATCACCAGAAGGTCGGCCACCAGCGGTAGATCTTTGTGGCCCCAGAGAGCCTGGGCCAAGGTGCCCCAAGGCTGGGGCCTCCATGGGGGAAGGGATCATGTGGTGATGAGATCCCAGATCCCTGATACCCTATCTGTCGATCTCTCCAGCATGGACACCTCTCTCTGCCCGTCTCCTGTGGTGTAGTAGCACTGGGAATACTTAGCACCTGCTCTCATCTGATGCGATGATCGCCTGTTGTGTTTGTTGGTTGGTTTTGCTTTTGCTTTTTCGGGGTGGGGGGAGATGGCTACTCTTTCGAGGGGTGAATGCAGACAGGCCAGGCAGGGCCTGAGACTCCCCAGAGATGATTTGCTCGGGGCAGTGCCTTGGGAGGGGAAGAAAGGGATGATTCCTTACAAATAGCCACATCCAGTGATCGTCCAAGAATGTCACTCCAGAATGAAGTCTTCAGTCTTCAGGATTGTGGCGAATATCTTAAACGCGCCTGAGCTGCAGTGAGCACCTTGAACTCCTCCTCCACCTGGAACGCAGAGCCTGCTCTTGGCCACGTCGGGTATGAGCACCAAAGCCCTCTCAGTTTTCTGAAGTAATGACTACAGTTGGCAGTCGACAGTATTGATTGGAAATAGAGATTTCTTTTTTTGTTTTCCATTGGAATACTTTAACTCTGTTCCAGACACTTCCATCTATATCAAGAGAATTGAAAAATCAAGCAGCCTTTTGGACACCATTGAAAGCGAGCATTTTCATAAAGCTAGAGAAAGAAAGCCAGATCTCTGGCCCATTTGGGTCAGCAGGAGAGCAGGTCCAGGGCTGGAGCTGCCTGGCCAGGGACGGGAATGAGTGCCTTGTTAGAATTAAAATCTACTCTTGAAAGAGAATTACTGGAAAGTGTACCAAAATCCTGAGAAGCCTTAAGCATTTGGTGGGAGGAAGGCAGCCTTTCAGGCAGGTGCTAACTTGGGCCCTAGAGCAATAATGGTAGATCTGGTAGGAAAAGGAGAAATAGAAATCTGTGGAAGCCGACCATAGATAAGGTCATCAGGAAGGAGCTCCACCAGGCCCCTGAGCTGAGTTCTCTGGCACTGTGTCTGGGGCCGTGGCTTCAGAATATGAAGCTGGTAGGTGTGGAGGAACCCCAGGGCCCCAGAGTTCTCCAGCTGAGCATCAAACACGTTATTTAGAGTTTGGGAAAATAAATTTCAATTCAGAAGGAGTGAGGTGAATCCATCTTTGCTTCCACACCTCACATGAGTTGGCAGCCTTGGTAGTGTAAGCTCGGAGACCTGTGTTGGAGATATGACAAGAGATCTCTCAGAGTTCAGTTTGCAAGAATCTGTTTGGAAATCCCTGGCTCTAAAGAACTTCCAAAGGGCTTTTGGGTCAAACAGTGAGCAGGGCAGCAGCAGGCTTCCCAGACCTAAGCCATACGTCACGTGATGCTGGGAAGTCATTTGCAACAGGACTTAAAGAAACCTTCATTCTCCCTCCGCCTCCCTGTCAGAGCTGACATTCTGCTCAGGCCGAGCAAACGATCTGTAAAATATAGACACAACCACAAGAAATGTGATGGGTTTGACGCCTTGGCATTTGAAAGGATCCTAAAAGCCTGGGTGGAAGGAGAGGCATTCCTTCCATCCCTTTCTTCTTCATTCTCCTTGCTAATGGATAGTTGCTACCTGTACCTTTACAGAGGGAGAAACTGAGACTTACAGAGCTGAGGTTTTTTGCCAGGGTCCCACAGGACAGGGGATTGAAAAGGGTGGGCTTTATAAGTATAAGGTGTTAGAAAGTGTCCAAGTCGGAATTGGAACCCAGAGCCTCCTGAAACTCTGCTGCCCCGGCTCCAGGAAGCAGGCTCAGCGTAAGGACTAATTAATTGTTCCACTTTCTCCCTATCCAGGCTGTTCATTTTACCTCATTCCAGTGAATACTCTTCAAATCCCCAAGTGATCAGCAGCCTTGAATTCAAATCGCTGCTCTTAACTGTGCACTGAAATCCAGCTGGCTGCCCTCAGCAGCCCCCAGGGAATGTGGGCGGGCCCCAGAACCCAAAGGGGCTAGCAGGGAGGGGCCGGCATGGCTGACGCCTTAGGGAGAGAAGATACCAAAGACGTGAAGCCCGTTCACCCTGATGCTAAGGCAAAGTTTTTGCCTAAGCTAATGCCAGCGGAGGGGAATAGACAGACTTTCCACCTCCACCCCTAGAAAAGATTTTTTCTTTCTTTTTTTTTTTTAAATAGCAAAGTCATGTGTTAGGAAAGAAAGAGAAGAAAAACCACCACCACCCTTCCTCCCCCCCCAAAAAAAAAAAACCCAGACTGGGCTGAATGTAAGGTTCCAAGGAACCTGACTTCTCCCCTTCTCACTTCTCCAGGAAGGGGCAGTCAGGAGCTATTCCACAGGGCTAAGCTTGTGAAGAAACAGCCCGTCTCTTTGACACTGTATTTGAAGGATTTTTTTTTCTTTTTAATGATGGTTTCAGTAGGTGGTGTTTTAAAGAATTCTTGGGAGATTTCTTTAGTGGATTGTGAATGTTTTTATAAACCTTCCCGCAGAGGTGTTTACCACTCATCATTACCATCATGTAATAGTTACTAAGTGCCCAGAAGGAGAAAGGGGCTCGCCAGCTGTCTCACCCTCTTGCCCAGGCCTGTTCGAAATTAAACCCAGTTTGCTGCTACAGCACTGAGGAAGTGTTCTCCATCTGAGCTGCCTGCAATGCTCTCAGCCTTCCCACTTCTGGGCACTGCACCGCTGAGGACAGCCTCCATGCTATGGGCCAGCCTCTTTACATCCATCCCACCCTCTGTATTTTTTTAATCCAAGGTGGTTTCAGGGATTCAGAGGATGTTGGAAATTTTTTTACATAGAAGAAATATATAGAGATATATATAGATATATATTACTATGAACTTTATTGTATTTCAGAAAATCCACTTTGCCCTTCTTGTGTGTGTGTATATGTATGTGTGTGTGAGGGGAGGAGAGGGGAGGGTTGGAGTGCATGTGTACCCACACACAGCATATATGCTTGAATGTTGACCTACCCAAAGATTTCAGGGTAGACTCTTTGACAGGACAACTCACACCGCTTATTCAAACATGAGTAAGTATCCCCTACCTTGCCAGTTTCAGAAGGTTCTATCTCTGAGAGTGCTGGGTTAGGATTCTCTGTTGTTGCCACACAGGGCATCAGGGCCCTAAGACCACTTGATAAAAGAGACTCTTTGGCTCTCTGTGGGTTTTGTCCTTGGAATTTTCTTTCTGGTGACTCTTCCAAGCCTGCCCCTCACTCTGTGGAAGCTTTCTGTTTGGAAAGCTTGTCTCATTTGCTTTATCTGAAGCTTCATCTCTCTGGTCACCCATTTTATAGATGTATAAATATATAAATTAAACCTCCCTCTGTCATTGGGGGGCACTTCTATGCTCTGGTTTGCTGTGGTACTTTGCTGTGGACGCTGTGGCATTCATGTTACTGTGTAAATAAACTCGTTTTATTACACTGAAACCAGGTGTGGAGTTGTTATCCTTGCCAAGATTTCCTTCTCTTTCACGCTTCCACGCTGGGGAGGGGGTGGCTGGTCTGCAGAAAGGATTGTTCCCCAAAGATACATCAAGCTGGCTGAAGGATCTTCATTAATTTCCAGGGTGTCTGGATGGCAGAGAGCTGGTTTCTTCTGGGCCACCCAGGGAAACCTGGCCTTTCCTTCTCAGAACGAAAAAAAATTTTCAAAGACATTCACTCTGACACCAAAGGATGGCTATCCTATATTCAGTCCGTTGCCGCCTTACAGAATTCTCTGCCCAGGCTCATAACATGTCAAAGCTAGGAGAGGTCGTAGACTATTACAGCTGGACACGATTCAGAGGTTGTTGAATCCAGTCCCTCTTACAGATGAATTAGAGGGGGAGTATCCTGTCCAGGCTCACACAATTAGTAAGTGGCAGATCTAGAATCCTAGACTAAGAAAATCAATCCATTAGCTAGCATTTATTAAGCACCAAGTGTCAGGCACTCTGTAAGCACTGGGGATACCAAAAAAAAAAATCCCCTGCTCTCAAGGAGAGAAGAGTTTTTGCACCTCTCCGAGCCTCAGTTTCCCCCTCTGCCCAGTGAAGGAGGTTGGACAGGATGAACATAGGATCACACATGGAGACCTGGAAGGGACCAGAGGCCCTCATTTTCTGGATGACGATTCAGGCCCAAGGAGGGGAGCAGAGTCAGAAACTGGATTTGAACTTGGGGCCCTCCACTATTCCACACCAATCTCTGACATCCTTTCTAGCTCTGACATGCTAGGATTCTGTTTTTCTAAGGGTGAAAGACCTTCATCTCCATACTAAGTCTTGCATTTTCTCTTCATCCCCTCCTTAGCCCTTAAGTCCCAGTACTAGAAAGAGAAATTACAGCGAATTAATAGCAGGCTTTGTGTGTGATAGAATTCTTTTCAACTCTCCTTGGTGCTGAAGTTTGTTTTTTTTTAATGTGCTGCTAGTGCCCTCTGGTGGCCAGCTTGCCTAAGTTCAGGCCTTCTCTAGCAGGGTTGAACCAGCCAGATCAAATAAGAGTGTCAGCATCGGAGTGAGAGGGCATAAGTGCTCCCTGGCCTTCATCACCCACTGAATTCAATGCAGGGTCAAACTCCAGGCTCATCCACCTCAAAGCTGTGTGGCCTTGAATATGTCCTTTCCCCTCTGGGCCTTGGTTCCTTCTCAAATCAGAAGGTTGAATTCTTTGATTTCTCAGCTCCCTCACCTCTTGCTACAACGCTGTGCCCAAGGTCCTGTTTGATTTCTGTAGATTCACTGCATGTGATCATAGGATACAGAACAGGACTGTAGATGATGTCAGTCCAGCCCCTTATATTACGGGTGAGGAAACTGAGTCACAATACAGGCAAGAGCTGCCTAAGCTAGTAAGTAACAGAGCCAGTGGTCAGAACCAAATCTGACTGCGAGGACCAGATGAGATGATGACTGTAAAGCACTTAGCACAGTGCCTGGCACAAAGTAGTCACTATATAAATATTAGCTATTATTAAGAACTCGGGGTTCATTCCACTGTACCACGCTAGCGTCAGTGACAGATATAACAGAGCTGAGCTCAGGAGAAAAGATTCAACGGTTGCTGACAGTACCTACAGATGTAAATCCATTTGTGCAGAATGAATAAAAGTACATGCATTTAGAGCCACCTGCAGTTCCACATGACAGCAAGACTGCAGCAGGATCTGCCTTTTTAGCTCTGCTCTTCATTGACAATCACCCTATCGTTGGCAAGCTCTGTTTTCCCTAAGTAAAGAACTAGTGTTCCAGCAATTTCATGAGAAATCTTGTTGCTATCATTGGCCATATCTGTCATGGCTTTTTTTTTTAATATCCCAAGCCCTTTGCACAGTGACCAACACACAGTAGTTACCTAAATGCTCGTTGGCTTGGTTAGAGCTTTTCAGAGAGAGGCAAGCCAAAACATAAATCAGTGCTCTCCATGACTCCAACCTGGGACCACTTTGGGGGCTGTGATATTCACACTATGGGTTAGAAGGGTGGGAGGCCTTTGTTTTTATCATTATAACAATGGATCTGCAAATAAGCCATCTTGGGGTGGTAGAAACCATAACAACCCTGGTGTTGTTTGCTAGGGGGACTGAGCTTTCCCTTCTTAGCTATTGGCAATTGCAAGCTGGCTGTTCAGGGAAGATAAGCCAGGCCGCTAAAGAGAGAAGTAGGCAATTTGAGGGTTGAGACCCAGCAGAAATTGAGCCTAGTGAGAACTGAGTCAACAATCCAACAGTTTATTGGTCCAAACGACTGACTTGGGGATGATGCAGAAATGCTGGCCAGCTGATTGGCTGTGACTGTTAGGGTTTCAGTCATGGGAAGGGTCATTGAGAGGGAAGATACTTCAGAACCCCTGAATTATGATGGTCTTTACGTCTCAATAATAATAATAATAGCATTTATATAGCGCTTTGGGACTGGCAAGGCATTTATAAAGGGCATTTTGTCCTTACAACCTTGGACAGCAGGTACCATTTGTTTCTCCTTTTCATGGTTGAGGAAACTGAGGCAGAGGTTAAGTGATTCCCCAGGGTCACACAGCTACCCAGTGTCTGAAGTACATTCTAACTGGTGTCTTTCTGACCAGACCCAGTACTTTATCCACTGGGAAATCAAACTGTCTCTTGCAAAATTAGAGCAGATAGCTAGCTGTGAATAAGCACAGAATTTAGAGCCAGAAAGGATATACATACACACACACACACATATACACATATATGTGTGTGTATATGAATATATATGTGTATCTGTTACATAATAGATGATATATACTGTAGTGCATATGATGGTACATTACAGTGTACTTTCCATTATAGTATATATAATATATATACACCATATATCATATGTAACATGTTATGTAATATAGTGTATATATGACATTATATACCTATATATATACATAGTATGTGTATATATCCTTATATTATTAGAGATTATTCAGTTCCTACCTCTCATTTGACAGAGGCAGAATCCAAAGAAAAGAAAGTGACCTGCCCAAAGTCTTATAACTAGTAAGTGGCAGAGCCAGGATTCACCTGACACCAAATCCAGGGCCATTGTTACCTGTGGGAAGACTGGTCAGTTGTTAGTGATGACAGCACACAATCTATAGGCTAGGTGGTGCAGTGGATAGAGTGCTGGGCTTGGAATGAGGAAGATTCATCTCCCTGAGTTCAAATCCATCCTCAAACACTTACTAGCTATGTGACCCTGGGCAAGTCACTTAACCCTGATTGCCTCATTTCCTCATCTGTAAAATGAGCTGGAGAAAGAAACGGCAAACCACTCCAGTATCTCTGCCAAGAAAGCCCCAGATGGGGTCACAAAGAGTTGGACACTGCAGAAACAGCTGAACAACTACGAAGCTTTACAAAGTTCTTTCCTCATAACAACCCTACCATTAGTGAAAATATTATTGTCCCCATTTTTCAGATGAGGAGACTAAGGCTAAAGGAGGGGTATGTGACTTGCCCACAGTCACAGTTTGAGAGTGGCAAAATCTGGATTTGAACCCCAATCTGACTCCAGGACCAATGTGCTTTCCACTACATGCCTCCCAGTTGCTCAGCAGCCTGCCTCGTATCCAGTGGCACCAGGAGGTTCCATCCCTGAAATAAGAGTAGGCTCCAATTCAGGGCTGCCCAGGTGAGAGGCAACAAGCCGAAAGCAGCTCCAGGCTCTCCTCAGGGGCTGGGCTGCTGGGGTAACTCGAGAGTCCCTTTGTCCTTCTGCTCTTAGTGAGGCAGGAGAGAGAAATCCTATCCAGGCCCTCCCTGGAGCCTCAGAATCTGGTCCCTATTCAGTGAAGGACAAGTTCCTGTGAATTTCATTGAGCTGCTCGTTACATGCCTGCCTGGGAGAGAGTCATTTTCCTCTTTGCCTGTCTGCTGCCCCCGCCATGATTGGTCGTTGACATTTGATTCGGGCTGGAGGCCAGGCACTCTCCCATTCCCATGAAGTCTGACACAGCTTCAGCAGAGTGACTGCTTTTAACCTCAGCCACCTAGAGTCTATTAATTTCATACCTGGAATTAGTGGGTGTGAGGTAGCCCTTTGAGAACCCAGGGAAGCTCATCTGAATCTACTTTCAAAGGTTCACAATCCCTTCTGCCTTTCTTCAGAGGCCAAGCAAATTACACCTCCTTTCAAATAAGCCTTCACTACATGCTAGAGTGGTAGCTATGCATGTGGAAGAAACCGCCTTGCTGCCCAATGAGCTGGGACTCTCAGCTGACAGTTCAGAAATTGTCATTAAGAGCTGCTCCAGGCAATCGCTGCTAACACTGAAAACACTCTTGTATTTTCCATAGGAGGGTACAAAACTGAAGCTGCCAGGACCAGATTCCACAAAATGAGCACACCCCAGAGAAGATGTGAGCTGCCTGGCCTTCCCTGCCTTCTTTTCTCAGATAGTGTACCGCCTTTGAATCAGGGTTCTGGGTTCAAGTCCTGTCTGTCCATTGAGAGGCTACTGGCTGTCCATCTGCAGGCAGTTCTGGGGCGATGGACAAAACACTGACGTGTGTCAGAAGATCTGAATTCGAAGCCATCCCAGCTCCGTGACTCACCTACCATAGGATCTTGGGCTTGGCACAGTGCCTGGCACTTGGGAGGCACTTAGTAAATGTTCATTGATTAATTGTGAAAAATCACCGTCTCATCTCTGTTCCTCACTTTCCTGGGTGTCTTGCATAAGACAGATGAAAACAATACCTACCCCTCAGAGGTATTGTGATGATACAGTGTAATAATGTAGTGTCAGGAAAATACTATGTAAATACAAGCTATTTCTATTTGTCATCCATTCAACAGACATATATTGAGTGTCTGCCTCACGCAAGGTATTGTGCTGAGTACAAAAGGGCAAAATATTTGACTTACTCTCATTCTATTCTACCACGATCTGCCCATAAGGTAAAGAACATATTTGCACATTGTCTCCCC